CACATTTGACTTCTCTTTCTCTCTTGCTCCCCACTTTAAATCTTACCCAGGCCTATCAATTTTGCTTTCTAAATATCCCTCCATCAAAGCTGCTTCTTCAGGTTCTCATTATCTCTTTCCTAGAATGCTGCAAAACTTCCCTAACTGCTTCTCCAGTCCACTGCTCTTCCAGTCCATCCTTCACACTGCTCTAGTGATTTTCCTAAGTCATAAATCTGACTGCGTTGTTTCTGAGACAGAGTCCTCCAGTGGTTTCTCCATGACTTCAGGATAAAACAAAACTCCTCCACATTATTTATGTCTTTCTATTCTAGCTTCATCTGTGTCTGCTTCTATCTCACACTATACCCCAAGCATTGGATCTTCAATGTCTTCCCATGAATTTTCCAAATTCACTGAGTTATTTAACTCCCCAATCTTTGCATACATGATTCCCTTTGCTAGAACACTTTTCTTCCTCTCATTTGTCTAGTGAACTAATCCCTTAAAACCAAGTGTGGCCATTGCTTATGCAGGGAAGATTACCTGCAGAAAGAGGAAATAATAAAACCATATTTTAATGTCTTATACCTACTTGTTTTCATTTTTATGTCAGGACCTTTGCACTTGATGTTTCCTTTTCCCAGATGTTTTCCCCCCAATTCTTCACATGATGGCTTTTTCTAATCATTTAGTCTTGGTTCAAGGGTTACTCTCGGGCGGGTCTCCTGTTCACTCATTTTAACAGAGCAGCTCCACCACCCTGATCATTATCAGTACCATCCTTAGACCTGTGCTTTCAAGGGCCTTCTCCATGGCTACCAGGGATCCCGCACCAGCTAGGGCTGTAGTACCATACGGTGGGGAGGGCAGGGACTGAGCTGACACCAGGACCTGCATAGACCCCCAGGCCCATTTCAATACTTCAGGGCATTTTTGAAACTTCTGTTTCCCATACAGGATCAACCAGATGCCCCAAAGTACTCCCAGACTTGTGCTATGAGGTTATCCAATGGCTCCATGTCCAGCCTTGGTTTCAGGAGGGCAGCCTGGCCAGCAGATCACTCCAGCTGACTGGCACAATACTTTTGTCCTGGGATCATATGAAATGGGTTGCCAGAATGTTGCTGCCACTTTGATTTGGAATGACTCAAATTTTTTATATAGACACAGGTCCCATATATCCTGGGAATGACACTGCTCCTTCATAGCACTTACACGTTCTGAAAGTATACTGTTTATTAATTCATTTATTCATTTATTTTCTGAGTGCCACTGCTCCACTAGAAGAAGTAAGTAGTAAGCTATGTGAAAAGAGTGACCTTAGATATCTTGTTCACCACCAGACATTCAGTGCTAAAACAGTTCCTGGCACCGAAGATATTCAGTAAATACCTATTGAGCAGATAAAAATGAATGATTGCATGAAATAGTGTATTTAATTACAGACCTCTCTCCTTCTCTAGAATGTAAGCTCTCAAAAGACAAAGGATTTTGTCTTATTCACCTTGGTCTTCATACTGGCATAGTGCCTGCCATATGAGAAGGCATGAGGTCAATATCTTTGAATTCATACATAAATAAATAAATGAGTGAATGAATGACCATATAATATCTAGACTCTAGGTTCTTAACCTTGTCTTCACGATTCTAAACGTGTAAATGAGGTTAAGAACCTCTAGTTCTTAAAAGCTGTTAAGATAACCTCTTGTTCTTAAAAGCTGTTAAGAAACTTTTAAAACTGCAGTGCTCAGGACCAGTTAAATCAGAATCTCTGAGGATACATCCCAGGCATGAATATATTTTAAACTCTCCAGGAAATTTCATTGTTCAACCACAGTTGAGAATAGGGTGACCAGCCATCCAGGTTTGTGCAGGACTGAGGGGTCTCCCAGGATTCAGAAATTTCAGTGCTAACACTGTGACTATACCAGGCAAACTAGAATGGTTGGTTACCCTAGTTGAGAACCACTGATTCAAACTCACCCAGCACCAATCTTGAGTGATATATTTTCAATTTTTGAAAAGTCAAGACTCATCAGTTTCATGCTTTCATTTGACACTTACCTAATTACATTCAGGCAGTTCACGTTGACCTCAATGACTGCTTTCTGCTATGTGTTCTTGTTCAGATTCGTGTGGCTACTATTGACTTGGGTGGCATACAAATTTGTGGCATACAAATGGCAAAGGGAATGATTAAACCATTACAGCAGGTCAGCAAGGACCAATAGGGCAGCTAAGCTTCCTTAGCTGGAAGTTAGCATAAAGTGCTACCTTTCCAAATGCAACTCCATTGAGCCTTCACTTTTCATTCACCTTCAAAGTGTTGACAGTAGGTTCTGACACATTCCTATTTATCACTTATGTATGTCAGTTACCCTGGTATGAGCTTGCAGTCCCTGCTGTTATCTGAGGAGACAAGAAATACTTTTCTTAATGGAAAAATCCCTATGTAAACTGAATTAGTATTTATCATTCCAGTTAATTTAATTCCTAATTAATTTACTACAAGTATGTGATTTATACTGAACCCATCAATATCTGGACACCAGAATAGAAATGCTCTTTGACCCTTTGACCTATGAAGGGAACAGAGCACCGCAGCTCTCTAGGGCCTTGTTATTCAAAGGGTGGCCCTAGATCATCAGCCTCAGCGTCCCCTGGGAGCTTTTTAGAAATACAGAGACTCAGGTCCCACCCCAGACGTACTGAATCAGAATCTTTGGAGGTGGGGCCCAAGAATCTGTGTTTTAAAAAGCTCTCCAGATTATTCTTATGCATGCTCAAATTTGAGAAGGGGTCATCTAGAGAACACTTCACTTACCTAATTCTTCACATCATTATCTCAAAGCCCAGAGAGAAGAGGTAAGGGTAAGCAGCGGAAAGAAACATGTGGCACAGTGGTCCCCAAACCCTGCTGCACATTGAAAACACCTGGAGATCTTAAAAACTATCTGCGCCTGGCTTGCCACCCAAGGCACCTTGATACCATTGGTTTGAGGTGCAACCAGGGCACAGGGATATTTTAAAACCTTCCCAGGTGATTCTTATGTACAGCAGAGATTGGGAATCACTGATACAGCAGCCATATCCCCAGCTCCTTGCTTTGGGCTTCCACTGATGAAGAACCCAGAGGAATGGGCAGCATCAGCATTTTCCATCCCTCCTTCCTTCACAAACATCAGAATCAGCAGGGACAAAATGAAGGGAAAACTCACTGAGTCTGAATCTCACCTCTGGCATAATGAATGCTTATTCTGTTTACCCTCTGTTAGTAGCTGTTTGATCTTTAACCTCTCTGGACCTCAGTATCATCTGTCAAATGGAGACAGTAAGACCAAATTCCCAGGATTATTTGGGACATTACGTATGATAACATGTGGATGTGCCTAATACTTTGCCATTCGAAAACATCTGATGCAGGAAAGAGCGTCATCTCTTTATCCTGCTCCCCTGGCGGTGGGACATCCAGCAGCAT